CCGAAAACAATACCCTATCATCTAAACCTAAACAATAAGCAGTTAAGTGCGTTGAAACAACTCCGTGTTTAATTTGCACGCGCTTTCTAAATGCGACACAATGACTTGTATACCCACTACTAATTTTCACTGGAGGCCATATATCGTACTATTAAAAGGATCTATTGTTTCCATTCTATCCAGTAAAATCAACAATGACGAACTAAATTGCGGAGACAATTCGTTTCCTTTTATCCAGTAAAGCATATTTCTCTAAATCGCCGGAGATGTTTATTCGAATACTTAAAATATATTAAACTTGTTGGTTTCAATTAACGTTGCGTTTTCTGATTTATACGGAACGTCTCCACATATCCGGAGAAAGTTCCATGTCGGTAATTGCTGCTACCGGGGTATATAAAAAGTATTTAGCAAGTAAGCAAAGACCTCCTTTTGCTGGCCTATACGCAATAGCGACCTCACAGAAATGTCTAGAAGAGGCGTGACATCAACTTTTTAAGGAACAATAAGTAACAAAATCATTTGAAAATATTTTTTCTAATATTTATCAAAAATCCAGTTCGAAGCAAAAGTTATTAGACGTTTTTGTTGGTAGTTAAGTTGAAGCAACTTTTTTTGGGTGCGGTGTTTAGTTATTAGGCTTGTCTTATTCAGGGTCGTCCCACCACAATTATTCTAATATAAATTTAGTAGCGTTTTGAACTGGCAGAATAGACAGATTACAGCCGATTAAATTGAAAAAAATATGTTCATTTTCAGCAATGTCGAAAATGCTTTAATATGCAATATGTTTTATAAAGGGACTGCTATACCAACATTTTGATGAAATTTTTTACATGTAAAATATAGCGTTAAATCTTGTTTCTAAATCATGATTAGCAAGTTTCAAAAAATAGTACACTCAAACCCTTGTATGTATTATAATATGAAATACTCACGAGGAAAACTTAAAAGGAACTTATTACAATTACAATTGTAAATGTAAAGTTTCCAGAATTTGTATTTAATCCAACTTTCAGGCAGATGCAACCTTCACGAAAAATGTCTTCCTCAAGGTCAGTGTCATAGGAACTAATAAAATGTAAAATAATATCGCAACATAAATAAATTTTCTAATGTTGCTGCGCATTACATAATTAGCTGATTCATAGAAAATAATACACTGGAATATTATACTCGTATTGCGAAATTTTCTTCACGGTTGCTCTAAATTGACCACAATCTCAGGTGTTTTCACCAATTAAAATAAGTTATTGCATTTCGCTTGTTTTTCCGTGTTATCCGGTAGTTTTTAACAGCTGCGTTAGTGTTAATTACTTCGTTTTTATTTAAGCTTTTTATTTACATACGTCGAGTGGTTTAAAGCTTTTTAACAGCAGGTAGCGGCAACAACACAGAAGAATGTGCCTACGCATTATTTACAGGCATTCAATAGTAAATTAATTCATCCTTAAAAGATACACATTAATTTTTTTAATGACTTGGGCGTCATGGCAACTGTTCTTTTGGAAGACTGCTAAGAATAAAACGATACCATAATACATTCGCACTTACCTAACGGTGTATGAATTATATGCAGGCAGCATTTGTGAATTTATTGAAAGTTCTCTAGACGCATCTCATTGAACAGGACGTTACTTTGAAAATTTCTGCGAACCATATTCTAGAATTTTTAACGGCCCATATGTCGACGCCGGTGATAAAAGCACAACCGCAGAATAAAAGCTTTTCCTCGACAACTTATAGTTCCCAAGACATCGTAGATATATGCTCCAATGGCTTTTTTCCCATAATCACCTATTAATTCAGTTTGCTTTCATTGCTATTTAGTGAATAATATCGTTTTTTGACTCCCTGCAAAATAATTCACAATTATCCATTGAACAAGCGTCCGCAAAGTGTCCGTTTTAATAGTCAGGGTTATATTAAACACTATCACAAGTTAGTTTGAAGTTGTTTGGTACCGTAGTTACGTGACGTTTGTCAGTTCTGAAGGTTCAGCATGTGCTCTGCGTCCATCATTCGATCGTATTTTTTTCGCTATGTTTGTCGAAAAAGTATAGTATGTAACACTTTTATAAACTTGCTCAAATATTCGTTTATAAAACTTTTTCCGACATTACTGGTATTTTGATGTTTATTAGTTCTGATGTTTCGGCATCTGTTCTATTTATCACGTCACTCAGTCACAGTTTATAAACTAATTTCACATATATATTTCACAACTCTTTTATCAAAGTTGAAAATTTAAAAATCTATCAATAATTGCTTTTTAATTCAAATTCAACGATCAAGCTTAAAGATGTGATTTTTCAAAAGTAAATACCAAAATTTTAGAAGGATCAATACGAACATTAAAACAATGCATTTGATTGAATTAATTGAGGGTACAATTTTCTTTCTTTCGCAAACCATCTTGGTAGAAAACTTATATTTTATAATTTTCACACACCAACATGGAAAACTTGAAAAATTTAGCTTATCACTACCCAAAAGATTGTTTACAATCCAAAGATTCAAGTTAAATAAGAAAAACTAAAAAAGCAGCCTTTAAACGAGTTCTTCAAAAGTATGAATTCTATACAGTCCTAGCTTTAAGTTTCTATTAAAATAATCCACTGTGGAACCTCGGGCGAAAGTAATTTTGGACGCAATTTTTTAAGAGTTTAGGCACTACATATAATAGTATTCTAACGAAGAAAACAATGCAAGTAACTATTAATTTATAACTATAACTATATTTTTCATTTTCAAGAATCAAGAATCTTCCCTTTAAATCCTTTTAAATATTATTTTCTGTAAAAGTACCTTTTATGAATAAAGCAAATTGAATTAAAAAATAAAATACGAAAACCATAAAGAAAATATTGCATATCTTTCTGGTTAATAATGAGATTTTAATTCTAATGTTTGAATAGGTGACTGGTTGATTATTTATACCACACTTTAAAATCGTCATTCTAAGACAATAGCTTTTCCCGAGGGGTTTCCTTTTTCTTCCAAAAAACCGATCGAATTATCGGAAAGCACAAAGAGAAAACCAGAAATTGAGGTTACTTAGAACTTTGATATTATATTTCGACTGATGGGATGATTTGGCCATTTTACACACTACATATAATGCAAATGCCACATATTTCATTTAGATAATTTTAAACTGCTTGAACTTAAAACATTTAACGTTATTGATTAACCAAGTACCAATTACTTATTTTCGGTGCTCAATATTATTAAATTGACTATAAATCCCCTACTAACATGAAACTGAAGATTAATCAGTCCCTTAGTGGTATTATTCGATGATGCATAATTATGTAAATATATTCATAGTTAATTTTAGTGTCGTCATCAAACCCTTCATTTACAGAAATGTCTTTCTAATTACTTCTCTTATCTCATACATTTATAGTATCCGTTTAAGTCGTTTAAGATTAACAGTGCCAGTACTAAAGTTTGTTATAAAAGTGATTAATATTAACATTTTATAATTTTATATTCAAAAATATACTACTTTTATTAACATAAAAAATCAGTATTAGGTAATTATGTCCTCATGTTTTCCATATAGTAAATTCTACCTTAATTGTGCGTTTCAAAAAGATGACTATCCATTTGAAATTATCCCACTATCACTATTATTATTGACTTCCTTAGCAACAATTTAACAGATTTAACATTTATTATAAACAGAGTTTGGATCAACTGCACTTGAATATCTGACAATCAAGACAAGGTATAGTAAAGGTTATCTATCTACGTACCAGATTTTTGCATATCTTATTTCCAAAACCACAGTTTAAATTTGAATACCGACAAAAAAAAACCCATCCCATTTTGAGATGAAAGTATATTTGCAAACGAACCATACGTAGCCATAGACGGATGGTTTCCCAGGCAACAGGGAGCGTTTTTAAAAGTGCCCAAAAATATTTTGAACACGAAGGCAATTTAGCAATAACTTCTATAAAACTGAAATGGACAAGTAACTCTTTTATTTTGAAAACGCTTTAATCACCGGAAGAAATACAACAACTGGTAGGTAGTTATAATAGCTATTTGGCATTTATACACACCATATATATTTATTTATTTATTATTATTTACGATTACAAAATTTTACAGAGGAATTCGATCAGAAAATAATCAATTATTAACTCGGATCATGCTTTAGAGTATTTAAAAAGATATACACTACCAGAAGCATCTAATTAACAGTATCTGCAAACGAACCATTATGCTCTTTATAAAACAATAATTTCAAATGGAACAAATTAACAATTTTTTTTTTAATTTTAATATGCAAAAATTCTTTCTGGATAATTATCTCATTTCTCAGAATGATTTCATAACAATCTAGCTGGACTAACAAAACCTAAGCTCCTATAGCCCTTAGCTTGGCCTTAAATCATTCAATGATTCGATAAAGTTGGCCTCCAATCAAGTAACACACTTATATTTCTTAGTTTCATTCACTATTTTTATTTAAGAAATTATCAAATTTTATTGTTGAATATCAGCTAGAGAAACTTTTAGAGACTTTTTTTATATTTAGATCCAAAGGTTGATCAACGATAAATTGAATTTATATTTATTTCAGATTCAATGACAAAAGTAAATTAATCCTCGAAAACGGGGTCACAATATGAACCCCGAGGTACAACTGAAAAAACGTCAATGTTGGTTGGTTCTTTTCGCCTTCGTTGCGAAAATTAACTAAACAGAACAGAGGATAGAGAGGAAAATGAATCCACGTGGTATTTTCCAACTCTTAAATGGGTATCTCCAATAATCGAATTTTTTGATTAAAAAAATCGCCAGCTATTAACGATGATCCGATTCCAAATAAAACATTGCACGGCCGCGATGAAAACCAACCCAAAAAGCCTTCACCTACTTGATCGCAACAATGCAAAAGATGTCCAGTAACTCGCCGTACCGCTTCACAAAAGGTTCATACGGTACAATCGGTTACCAAAACTACAAGAAATAAAATAACTTACTGTATCGTAGAAACCAAAACGGAGCCAAATGTAATTCTTAAAAGATGAATGTGTCTGCTGAAGCGGTTACAATATAACGTCAGAATCTGTCTTCCGACCCGAAAAAATAGCGCTCGGTCGCGACGTAAAAGGAAACCGGTTCGTGAAAGCACACTACCTTCCTCGTGGAAGGATCCGCGCCGACTGAGGATTAACCAAGTCTGACTTGGCTCGAAGCATTTTCCGTGCAATAACATCGCTAAAAAGTCAAAAGTTGGAACGCTTGCATATTTTATATTCCGCACTTTTCGCACATTCTATTTGTAAAATCGAATATGGGGATTCAGATGTGATGAAGTAACACCTTTGTACCGACATGGTGCACTTGACGTTAAATGTTAAATTAATCTATTAATTACTGTTGAATTGATTTTTGTAGCTGACACAAATGACCGGAAAAATATGCATTGTCGTTCAAAATTCGCGTTTGGTTGTGATACGGGTAGACAAATATCCTATGCAACTATTGCACCTCGAACGAATGCACTTAGATAGCATATTTTAATATTTCTGAATCGAATACTGGCTTTAAAAAATCGGTCATAAAAAATGTAAGAAATTGTAGAAACTAATAATAGTCTTTTTTCCTGTACATATGGTTGCGTGAATCTTGGCGTCCTTCCTATGAAGAAGGGCAGCATAAGGGCCAATTTTGCATTTTTTTATAGGGATCGCCTTTTAATGCGATGGCCTGTACCTACCAATTGTCACTATTAGGTCGTGTAGTTCATAATATTTTCTTCAATCTTTAATATTTTTATTAAATTATTAATTTATTTAATTTTATAATTACAACACATTGGATTTGGCTGTAATAATCTTGGATCTGAACCTTGGAACCTTCTGAAATTAAAAATAATTTTCATTAAGTGTTAATTTAAGTATATAAAATTATGACACTCTTGGATGGCGCACAATGCAATACACTGTAATGACCATGTTTTGTTTAACTATATGGCTGGTTTTATAAATAATACATAATACTGATAATTTGGTAATTGAGTTTTGAATAAAGTTTTGAGATGTGTAAAGAATAGTTCTTAAACGTTTGTCTAAATACCGATTTGGAGTTTTAGTTTCGATATATTGGTTGTCTAATTAAAGCATTGAATTTAAATTTGAATTTTCGAGATTCTGGAAATTTAGAAAGAAATTTGTCCGTTTAAGAATTAACACTTTAAAATTACCCATAAATTTATGAATGGACTCAGGTGACCAATTTTGGAGATCAGGTTAAGCTAATTCTTTGGATCGTTGGGGTGGAGAGAATTAGAGCCTTTAGGAAGAGTTCGTTTTTGTCCTTCATTTGAAGACATTTTATGCTATTCTATGCTTAAAAAACATATATTTACGAAAAATGATCGTTATAGTATATTATGCAACAAGTGCGGTAAACGGCATTTGACTCACGAGTTTATTTGACACGAGCGGAGCGAGTGTTTAATAAACGAGTGAGTTAAAAAGTTTACCGAACGTGTTGCATACTATACTTTTTCTATGACCGTTAGTTTTTGGGTACATTTTCACAAAACAATACAAATACATTCACTAACAGGACTATCAGAATTGACGAACTTCAAAGCGTGGGAAATATCTCCGAAAACATCCGATTGCTTCCAAATCCGTGCGGTAAAATCCCGGAAATGTCCGAAGTGGCTCGGATTCATGGGAAACGAAACTGACGTGGTAAAGTGACGCTTCCCGCACGCTAGATCGGTGGGTAATTAGGTATTTTACAGACGGGAGTAGAAAATTAACTTAAAAACTATTGAACAATGAACAAGCCTGAGCAAACTGAATCTATATTAAGGCTCTGAAAAATGAACTTTTACAAGCCTGTATACCCTAATCTCGTACCACCTTTTTTTTTCTGATATTATTTCACTTTTTCTCTATAAATTTGCCACGATATTTCAGATAATACTAATAGTAATAATAATAATTATAATAGTCTTTATTGAGAATTCAGATACATAATACACAGTATACAATACTAAAATCTAAAAGGGCGAAGTCTAGCTGACTAAGTAAGCTATTCAACATTAACCCAACACAATCAATCCATATATTATACACCATTTTGACAATACAATTTGTAACAAGAAAACCCGTAGTAAAGAAAATTAAAATATAAACAAAAGAAAAAGAAAGTAAGTAATTATAGAAATAATTCTGTGATTAATTAATAGACGAAAAACTTTATTTATTTAATATTTATTTTATTACTTTATTTATTTAAAAACAAGCCTTTAGTGTTCTTTCGAAATGGTTTTAAAGGCAAAGAAAAGTCTATGGCGAATAAAAGTTTTTGCCGCATTACAGGTAAACCCTTGCTTGTGAGGCCCAGTTGGCATATTCTCATTAATACTTACTCAACCACTGCAAAAATTTAATTTTAGGGGACACGTGGTCATATTTCCTTAAGCCATACACAAACCTACAACAGTTGTTTTGTATTTTTTGAAGGCGTTGACGATCCAGTTAAACATTGATAAAACAATACTAGACTATATGACAATGCAGACATAATATATGACTCACGGAGTTTTTCCTAACTTTAGTGTAATACATAGTTATTGGCATATAGAGTCTTAAGTAAAAGGTAAGTTCTTTTATTGAAATTTGAAATGTCCTCACTAAATCTTAATGATACGTCCACTACATAATTACCCAAGGATCTAGAGTGCGGAAAAAGTCACTTTACGACGTGAGTTTCGTGTTCCACGGATCCGAGCCACTTCGGACATTTCCGGAATATTACCGCACGGCTTGAATTTTAACGTTTGCCAATTCTGACGTTCATGTGAGCCAAGCCAAATATATAGCCAAAAACTAACGATCGTAGAAAAAGTATAGTTTGCAACGCGTTTGGTAAACTTTTGAAGTAGTTTGTTAAGCATTCGCTCGTTTCGTGCCAAATAAAGTTGTGACTCAAATGCCGTTTTCCACGCTTGTTGCATAATATACTATTTGACACACAAAAAAGAATATATCAGTTTAACAGAAACGCATGTAGTACAAAGATCGAACGACATCTGGGTTACATGGAAAATAAGGGAGAATAGGGGAAATGGGATGTTATACTTACTCATTTGAAGATGCGCTGTTATCACAGGATCCCTATAGGAACAATTTTATCATATTTATTTCATTATTGATAAATTTTGATTAAATATCCTTTAATATGTTTCAAATTTTGAGAAATTAGATTTTGAAGAAATTTTTCTGTAGCGACTTTGACAACAAAATTCTACAATTATAGTACTATATTGTCGCTGGTGGAAGAGATGATCGATTAAGATGGAAAATTACCGCATAACGTACATGTTCGATGATATAAATCGCATGATCTCGACATGACTCCAAAGACTCTATGTTGGTTTCCTCTTTAGAAGTCATTGTTTCACGAGTAAATATACCGCCGAGCTTTGAGATTGTCGTTGATGAAGGTGACCTATTTTCCATACATATAGCACCCCATATTAGTTTGCATTTTATAGTCTTGCTGTTACTGTCGACAGCAACATTTTAGTATACCGGCTTAGTAAAAAGTATTGGAATGTTTAAATATCTCCAAAACTGGCAAAGCTGGCAAAATTGAATGCCTGGGGTTTTTGAACATGAAGAAATAAAAAATGCTAACAACAATGTTGTCAGCTTTCGCAATGATTTTTAAAATTCCTTGCGACACAAATAAATAGGGCATTCCATTTAAAACAACAAATTTATGACATGTGGCGTAAAAGTGGTAAATTTGATAATAAAATTGCTATTAGCGTTTTTGAATACTGCATGTTCAAAAACCCCCAAGTATTGAATTTTATCCTTCCAGCTTTGGTAGTTTTGAAGATATTTATGCGTAGCGGTACTTTTTACTAATCCGGTATAGTAACGGATAACGGATTGACTTTTATAAACCTTTTCATTAAAATATTATCTACATTAGTGCCTATAAAATCTGTAGTGCCGGTTACTTCAAGATTTTAAAAAATATGTTTGATAATGTTCTCAAAAATTGTATTATTATAAAACTTTTACTATTATCTAATTATATTATTTAATATTTAATACCGTCTATAGATTGGAATTAATTCTTCTTGAACTTTCATGCTAGCAAAGTGCAGTTTCCAAAGTCGCTTAAATGATAACGGCTACGAACTCTTGGTATTTTTAGTTCTTGAAAAGGGAGCAAGACGAAAAGATCAAAATCCACAAGAAACTAATTTACAGTCATTGCGACTGTTTTTATAACGGTGCTGCTTTTAAAAGAAAATAGGAAAAATAAGATAAAATTAGGAGACAAAAGAGTTATTAAAAATTCCTTTTCGGATAAGTGACTGAAAGCAATACTTTACAAATCAATAAATAGAGAGTGTTGCATATTTTTTGTTCTCCACTAAGAAATAACGCAGTAATAAGTTGGATTTCGAATAATAAAAGATTTATAATATTCCTAAGATAAAGTTATAGTGATATCTGATGATAATCATTTTTATCACCAACTTTGATCATTGTAAAATATAACGACGAGGATTGTTTTCTTAGTATTTATAAATTTTAATAAATTTACAATTACAAATTTTACAAAACTTTGAACTTCTTGTTAGGTTGTTATTTATATTTTCTGCCAATGAACAGGGTAATGGAAAACCATTTTTAAAAATGTATTTTTATTTATTTATTATTATTAATATATAATTTTAATATGGGCAAATAAATACGTCAAAGGAAAATAGCAGTGCTCTGACATAAAAAGTTAATTTATAAAGATCTCGTCTATGGGTCGATTATTTTACTGTCCAATTTGTATGGTATTATATACTAAAATAATTGAAAATAAACACGTAAATACCTAACAAGTGAAAGTGAAATTCTTTACGCAGTTTAAAAGACCTACTTTGTGAATTGACGAGAGCGCTAGTTGTGTTTGTATCCCGGATGAGTGCAATTCACATAATTTGACCATAAATCTTTTCGTCAAATCTCCATAAATCTCTAACGGCCCACACGGCGGGGTCCAGACGCCTCGCACGAGTGTAATTGCGTAATTGCTATTACCATATTTTCGTGTCTTATATTAGGGGAAGGGAGGAAATGCTGCGCCTCAATACGAAGTCGCGACCGGTTTGCGAGATTGAGTGATATGGAAGTTAATAATTCCCTTGGAATGCATCGGACCGACAAAATTTTTATCCTTCAAGGATTTTCGTTTTTTAGAAATCATGCATATTAAGAGATATTAGAACGTAGATTGATGTCAAATTCAAAATTAGTGTTAGCGTTTTCGAAACGGCGTTTTTAACGACTAAACAAACAAATAAATAGTCTTCTTTTGATTTATAGTATCACCTGTTGCTATATGGCGGATATGTTATGGACACCCAGAATATCTACATACATATCTAAAATTAGTATTTACTGCCTTCGTTGGTCAGTTTTATTTCACCTTATTTACGTAATTAAAGTTGTTGGTGCTTATTTTCGGAACTTAATTCAAAATTGGAAAGGGAAATTCGACTAAGCTGTCTGCGTTACAATTCGGCCCATCAAACATATTTGGCAGAGCACATTTGCAGTTAATATAAATGTGTTTTTAATGGGTCTGATGTATAAAAACGCACTGTAGACTATTTATGCCGCTCATGACCTAAAAACATGTTATGGACATATGAGTATAATTTAAATATATCGTTCCTGCAGAAATGTATGAGATTTCGGATAGTTTTTCTGATACGCAAGCGAGAATAGAGTTGCGTAGCTTTGTTTGGACCATATGGAGTTTTTACTTTTGTTTTTTTTTTTGTTTAAATTTGTGGCTTTGTTTCATTTCTAAATATACAATTTATAGTTGGTATGTTGGCATGTGACTGTGTGTGTGGCATGTGAGAATTGATGCTCTTCATTTACATATTTTAAAAAGGAGAAACAAATGAATACCGATCTCTTAGAGTTTTATTGCTTTAGGTTAATTGTCTATTTTTTTGTTTAATTTTAAAATAAAATTATTATGGACAAAATGCATCGAAATCAGTATAGCGAATCTTAACATAATTGGTAAAAGATTAAATTAGTCGATCGATACGGATTAACGTTACAGGGCGGTCCATTTATAATAGGAACAAACTTTTTCGACTCAGTTCGTGTTTTAACAATGACGGATGCCACTTATGACTTTTTACAAAACTTCTGGATTCCTCCTGCGTCGGTTTGTCGAACTTGCTAAGAAGCTCTGAAGAAGCCAACAGGATGATTGGCGAAACGTCAGCAAGTTCGACTCAGCAAAAACCGACGCAGGAGGAATCCAGAAGTTTTGAAAAAAGTATTACAGTAGCCTGTGGAAGTTTCTTTGAAAAATATGCCACTTATTACTTATTAAGAGAAAAGTGAACAGCAGATCGGTTAAAAATATGAAAGCGAATAATCCATTAGGAAAAAAGTAAGGAAGATGATCAACACGATGGTAAGAATGCTAGAACTTAACTTCGAGGAAGACATATGGTTATTTGGAAGTAAAAAATTATAAAGTAAAGGCCCTTTGGCTAGAACGGAAAGTTAATTTAAGTTTATAAATATTTGTACATAGGTTAGAACTACTTTTTATCTACTTATCCAACTTGTTGCATAATATACTAATGTCGCTGTTTTTTTAAAAGTTACGATTTGCAAAAAAAGAAACAAACTTCAATATTAAACAAACACTTGCAATTAGAATGATGTGTGGAGCTTCAGGTTTTTGGATTTACAGCAAGAGGGAGTATAAACCTTCTTTGAGCAACTAAAATATCCTCAACGAGTCAACCCTCAAACTCCTAAACTAACCAAGACTAACCGACCCCAAAAACCAACACCATATCGCAGCGTTGCGTGGTCAAAATAGACATGAATTTACGATTGAGAGTTTAACTGGTATTCGATATTCATAATGCGTTTTCCGGTCAAGGTTTACATTAATATGTAGGTCAATGAATTTTGTTATCGTCAAACGAGAGCTTTCCGTTATCAAATTTATTTTTCAATTTATTTGCACTCTTTTGAGTCTGATGAAAACAATAAGCGTCGTTTTGCATAGGTTTACCATCAATATCAACCAAAGCTTTAAACTTCAATGTTTTCAACTATGCTATTACAATCAAAAAACAATTAAAAAACTGTATCGAATTATATATAGTTAAGGACTGCGAAGGCTGTGAATTGATTAAAGCGTATCAAATTTGTTTTATAAACAAGATTAAAATTAAGAGAACCAAGATTTTCTAGTACCTATTACTTTTAGAGTCAATATTTTTATGTGTATTAGTAATTAACAATACATTTTTGTATAATTGTTATATTTTGAAATAAATATTCAGTTTTGTTTAAGTTTCGTCAATTGTAACGAAAAAACTCGGGGAGTAAAAACGTGACAACACTTTAATGGAATCGATCTCAGAAAAAGACATGTTAATGCTCGCAGGTTTATTGTTAACAAAAAACTTTGCAACGTCATCGCGTTTTCTTTTTTCTTTCATTTCCTTAGTAGTTAGTATTTACAAATACATCTAGTTTTATCACCAGTCGAAATGTTTCTTATGCTATTTGAGACCCTTTTAAGCTTCAGGTTTTTCATCTGACGTCACATTTGTTGCTCCAGACGCTGTCGAAGTAGCATCACCAGCATCTTTCTCGCTGCCGCATATCAACGATGGGAACTTCTTCTCGAGAGCCTGTCTATATTTCGGATGGCTGCAATTAAAGACGACACTTATAAATTATATGCTTAATAAAGCAAATATTTAGATTGATTTTTGTCGATCGATCGATTTGTCGTTGTTCGCTATTTTATGAGGTGTCTCAGAACTCGACGATCAATGTTAAGGAATGAGGAAGATGATTTATAATCAAAATAAAATTTTATGATGATCAGACCCTGTATATCTAATCGGTCTCTAATTTTTTAAATACCTTGCGTTAGATGAATTGTTAGAAAATAATCTAGGAAAGTAAAAAAAAATGTGATTGTGTTTTGCTTAAAGTAAGTAATCATTTATCTTCTTTGCCCCTGTGACAAGAAAGAAATCACTTGAATTATTTTGGAAAACATTGTACCCTAAAATGCGGATTGATTTAGTTAATATCTAAAGAGTATTTGCTCTATTGTAAACACTTATGAGCTTGGCTTAACTATAAGTGATTTGATTTTAGAGTAGAAAGAATTTAATAGTATAGACGTTAGTTTTTTCCTGAGATTTCTTCTGTCATTGGTAGTGAAATTCACTACAAAATTAAAAAAAAAAACTCTCCAAAATAGTTTTTAATTAGACAGCTACGGTCGATAAACCAATGGAATATTATTTGACAACCGGCAGTTCATGACGTAGTCATAGACAATTTATTAGATATTATGGTCTGTTCATAGCTATAAGAAAGTGACCAATTGCTTTTGAATGGGATTATGCAAGGGTGGTCATTAACATACAACAAGATTATTACCTAAAGTTTCGGAATTTAAATTCAGGTAAAATTGTGGTCCGTAATAGAGAATAATTTTATACCTACCTGTGTTTAATATTCTTTGGTTTTGTATACTACTTAGTTTAAATTTATTAGTAATCATTCTTATTTCGTGGGTAATACAGATTGTGTTGAATCGTGTGCGAATTATGGAGAATATGTGCGAGTCTAGTGTATCTCAGGAGATGATCCCGCCCACATCTGGAAAACAGTATTCTACTGAGACTAAAGAAGTTATAAACAATTTTTATTTGACTCTCATTGAACGCGGTGCCAGCAAGCAAGCATCTTTAGAAGAAACGGCCACAATGACAAAAATTCCAACATCAACTATATGGAAAATTCATTCCTGGGTCTTTCCTTAATTCGTACCATTTAGTCACTTTCTTATATCTATGAATAGACTTTACCTGATTCCGTAAACGATAGGATTGTAGACGGCATTAGCCTTGGCAAAGAGCGAGCACCAGATGGTGGCCAATGGAGTGATCTTCGCATTGCCGAAGATTCCCGAGAAATTTGTCACCAGGTATGGTGTCCACGCCATGAACCATAACGAAATGGTCATAAGTGCGATTTTAGCCAGTTTGCACTCGGCACTTGTTTGAGCCGCCTCTGAAGATCTTAAAGAGGCCACGTTCATTTTTTTCGCCTGCTCCCGCATAGATTTCTCGTGAGCGGCGACCGCCTGTGGAATGCAAAAATGGTACAACACTATTCTTTTCAAATCCTAAGTGGTAGAAGTTGATTCCAACATTTTTCCAAAAGTCGAGGAATTTGCTTTGCGTCCATATTTGAAGATCCGCGGTAATATGTGTACGGGGTGTCCGGAAACTAAATCGCCAAAGACAATCGACACACAAGCGCCTTGCGTACGAGTATGAACGTGGTTAACCAAAAAAAGTATAGCACACCTTAGTTTATTTACAGCTAACATTTATTACATTTAAAATTATCTTTTTTATTTAGATTTTTGTTTTTTTGTGGACAAAAAACATTCCCCCTAAAAAACTGGAAAGAAATCAATGTCAATGTTTCATCTTCAAAGAACCCTACTTCGGCTGGGCAATTTGTTAGCTCTGATGTTTTCTGTCTTCCTCACTTCGTTGATTGGTTTAGTGTTGCAATACCCTTTCTTTAATTATAAGACATTCATTATTCAAGTTTATTATTATTTATATCTTTTATGATAATTTGATTTTAATTTTGTAGATAGTCCAAATACTCGATGGGTGAACTGAATCACAAAATTCAAAAAAAAAATCTAGTGCAAGCAAAGTCAATGTTTACAGTGGTTATCGCACTAAATGATGACGTTTTTATTTTTATGTTATTAGTCAAAGGCCGTAAGTCTGGTCACCGTAGAACTATTACATATAGGCAGAAAAAATTATACGGACGTAAGTTGAAAACTCTTTTATGTGTGTATGTGGCAGTATTACAGAATATTGTTGACTTTGATTTTAATGTTAAAATATTGATTTCATTCCTTGCCTCCGTAATAAATTTCCACATTTTGTTTTTACTCCTTAGCGTGAAACACTGGCGTACTTACTTGGACGATAAACCAGTAGGAATAGATGATGGTGAATAAGGGAAGGAAATATACAAAAATGGCGTAAACCATAATGTAACTTCGACTAACTGGATCTCTCGAGAGATAATCGGTTCCGCAGGCGGTCATGTTACCCTCCGGCACATATCTAATAACAAATATCAAAATTACTTAACCAAAACTCAGCGAAGTCTCAAACATATTTTTAGAAAGCCGATTGACTATAACACGCCTTCTAAAATGTCTGTATATAGGGAAGAGAGTAATTATTTGCCTTATCGAGGTGGGCTGCGTACATTTGGATTGAGACCCTATTTGCTCTCTCATTATCATAGTCAATAAATACGCCAAAGTATTGTATCCACATGAAATTTAAAAACAGTAGTACGTGTAGTAAATATAGTAAGATAAATATTTACTTTCAATTTAAACATCAATTTTTAAAAAATTATATGCTATTTTATAACTGAATTTTAGGCGATATGGCTATTTCCAATGAATCCACCCTCTGAAATACCAGTGTGGGGCAACTGTTTTATCTAAATTATAGGAGGATTAGAGGGCGTTCACTAAAGTTGAGAGAAACTACCACATTAGTTTGCTTACTATGCAGCTTAATCAAAGAACCCCAACGCAATAAGGGACTATTTAGACGATCGAACGAGATCTCTGGAAAATTTATTACGTCGATGTTCGATGAAATAGAATCTAGACATAGGGGTCGTGAGACTCTTGAATATTATTGTTTCGGTGCTGTTCTTCTAAAGGCAGTTCTTGTAATTTAGATGTGTATTTAGATATGATATGAGACTATGAGCAGCTATGATTAAAACAAAGAAACATTTTGAAAATATTTTTTTGAATTACAACTTTGACAGAAATAAGTGTAGCCAAGTGAAAGTAGTTAATTCAAAATTCATAATATTAAGACACCATAATTATTCACATTTTGGTTAGTTTTATACGCTGTAAGTTTTAGTCAGTAATCAACAAAAAGTAGCTTGCCAAAATAGTTTCTGGAATTGAGGACAAAGTACACACGTAAAAATCGTGAAAATTATTTATTTCACTAGGTGAAAGAATTGAATAATTTCTTTCATATATTGAAAAGTGTATACGGTGTAGAATTTAAAAATATTTGTTGTCGGTGTTATTTTTGAAATAACCTGTACGCGTTATCGGAACAGAAGAAACAGAAGAAGAAGAAGTTGGACGTATTTAAATTGCACCGATCGCAACGTTTAGTGTCCTGTTTTTATAAAGAATTGAACTAATATTAAAACAATTCCAACTTTTAACAATGCGCTTAAATAATTTTATTTTGGAAAGAGTACCAATTAGGGAAATTTAAACAAAATCACCTTTATTTTTTGCATTAACATAGAAAATTGATTTTTTTAACTAGCACAAGTTGCCATTTTTTTACTCAATCCCAAATTTATCCATAGCAATTGATATAAAAATATGTCCAAAATGTTTTTACAAGTTGCGGGGTGAAAACCAAAATATGGCATTTATTAAAGTCTTAAAGATCCCTTCGCCAATCGAAGGTATATTAATTACACAGAACAAATACTTACCGGTTCCATCCAAATAGGGGAGCTATCGTCCAACCGATGGACATTGCCCAAACAAGGAGGATTCTCAGCATAGCGGTTTTCTTTGTCAGTGGTTGTGCACTCAATCCTTTCACGATGACGTTGTACCGGTCCAATGCAATGAAGGTCATAGTCCAGATGGATCCGCAGCCAAACAGTGAACCGAACATGCCATACAATTCACAGAAAAATGGCCCTAGGAGATTGTTTGGTAAATATTCCTCCCTACTACAACTTCGTCGGAATTGCTGCGCATTCGCCATATTGTCAAGACTTTTAGCAACAACAAATGTGGCCATAGTAGTTTGTCAGCCCAGTATTGTAAAATAATTCAACACACCGAATTTTATATTTTATCGAGTTTTTAAATGTATTTTTATTTATAATAACAATTAATAGAGTCATTTATTGTATTTGTGTACCCACCCACAGACAGTAATTCAGTGAGTTTTTCTTATTTTCATGAAATACTATATATGTCTATGTATTTCTGTATGTATTTCTATATGCATATGTTTATTTTCTCCCAATTTTTAGGTTTTTGAATGATTAAAGTTTATCATTTTCAAAAATTTAGCTGATGATAGTCCAATTGAAAAACAATGTTAGAAAATGTTTTCTAAATCATAGTACATATACAGCGTGAACAAATTTAAAATACAATTGAACATCACGTTTCCGGTTTTTCTTTCAAATTAGCAAATTTTTATTATTATTCGTTTAATTTTGTAAGATTCCTTAATATTATTTAATTATTTTTGGATAGTTTTCTTAAATCTTTAATATTCTTGGTTGGTTATTTTCTTCATACGTGTCAATTTAAAATGAAGGCACACATCAATGACCCATATGTTTTTCAAATCATTTGATAAACTATAGGACGTTTCTGTTTCTCTGTTTATACAAGTAAAGAAAACAACACAACCAGAACAATTAAATTCGTTTCTATCAACTTCATTAAAGGGTTTGAATGCACATTGTGCTTACAAATTGATAAACTAATTTTGTGTTATATTTACTATACATTTATTTATTGGCGTGAAGTGGTCGAAACGATAAGGATAAATTTTTATCGCTGTATCAAAACGTCCTTTTATTGACATTATTTTAAATTGTTTCATGTTATCTTGGCTTCATTTGTCGAAAACCAAATAGTCACTGTAGTAAGCAAAGCCATTTTTTTGTCATGGTGATGGTTTTAACTAACTAAATGACTTCCCTACTAACCTAGAACCCATGTTTCGTTGTAACAGTTAATTACCATAGGAGGCGACATGGTAAACATCATCAAGAAATCAGAAAAGGCGAGGTTAACGACCAACAAGTTCGATGGTGTCCTCAAGCCCTTTGTACTCGAAAATATGTACATAACCTAAAACAATTTTGTTGAGTTTGCTCTTCATGCTCCCTAATTAATTTGTATTCTACCATGCCGTTTCCTACGATGGAGATGAAGCCCAAAACCCCAATAACAAATCCCAAAATGCCGTGCCAAAGTGGGTTCATAGGGGGGTATTGGTACCAGTAGGCGTCTACCATGTGCAGCATTTCAGGTGGTACCTTGTCCACGACGCTAATATTGCCTAAAACCAAATTTCAGCTAACAAGTTATTAAAGAAAAGACATTTTTGGAGAGTTGTTGATTTGATATGGGTGGGTATATGTCGCACTTACCGCCAAAGCCAGAGGCTCTTTGAGCCGCCCATGAGGCATAGGCATAGCTCGGCTCACTCATCACGGACATGATATTATCCTGTAAAAGAAATGTTTTGACATTATGAGGAATTTACTTGCCTAAAAATGGGAATAGGCTCTTGTCTGATTGCAGCAATCTTTTCACAAAACTTTACCGTCCTACCGTTAAATTAATGTTTGTTTAGCATTGTGCAAATGTTTAAATTAATATCTGGTTGGTTGGATATTTCGCGTCGCCTAATTTACAAACTCATATAAAATATTTTTAAGAAATTAAAGCAAGCAGAAAAGGTGAAATCTTAAACAAATAGTTGCTTACTTTTGTGAACAAAATTAAAGCTTATCTATTTTGGCTATCGATTAAATGTTCGCTTGACATAGGCAATGAGGCAAAAATGACTTGGAAACTTTTTTTTTTATTATTTGATTTTTTTCCTTGATATGTTATTTTTGTTTGTTTTGTTTGTTATTTTGCCATATTGCATTGTTTTTGTAATTAAAACAATGCATCATTATAAGCCAACAACAACCCCATGCTCCAAACACTGTAAGAAAAAACACCAGATTTAAAAAAAAAAATAACTGTAGGTATTGTTGTTGTTATTTTTATTTACAAGGACAAATAAAATTTGTTAATGGCAAATAATAATTGCCACTTACCTCTTGATCTTGTACACCTTTTGTTCAATTGTAAGCACGGTTTTCGATCTATTTAACATTAAAGTTAGGTCTTGAAGACGCCAGGGCCACGACTCGCAAATTTTTCCGCGAATTTCCTTTTTATAAGAAAAACTTTTCACGTGCATAATTAGATAAGACAAATCCTTCTTAAATAAACAAAATTACTTGTTATAATAGGGATTCCTTAGTACTTTCTTAAAGGGATTATAACCCCTATAATTTGAATCAAGGACAAGTAGTTTAAGGAAAACGCAACATAATGTTTTGGATTTGTTCAAATTGTGTGGCCTCAACGATCAATTAAGTCTTTTCAATGCGACACGAGATTTTTACTACTACTCACTATTCTAGATTACAATAACACAAATGAATACTGAACTGAGGAGGCTTTTACTTGATGAAAATCCGTTTATCAAAATAAATTAGAACTAAAAGTTCAGATTTTCACGAAATTATATATTATGACATGACAATGGTTTCGACAACACCGTGTCTTTATCAAATAAACATTTGATAAAGACGCGGTGTCATGTCAAAATATATAATTTCGTGAAAATCTGAACTTTTAGTTCTTATTTATTTTGACAAATGAATACTTTTATTACGACCATCGGCTTTTTGGTACATCTTTGCAAAGCAGCACGAATATATTCACTGAGTCACTTGCGACGTGATTGCCAGAACTGACAAACATCCCAAACCAGTGACTGAAGTACCAGAAACGTTCGAAGTTACTGTCGATCGTGGTTAACAAATCTGACGTCTTAAAGGGATACTTTCCGCACGTTTAATACGTACATAAATGGCTATTTTGAAGTAGGTAGTGTAAAAACACATTTTATTTAAGGTTAATATTTTCAGTTCAGGATTCAACTATTAAAATATTTCCAATTTTTAGTTTTATAGCTGAAATCTTAGTTTATCAAAGACACGCTTCAAAATTTTCGCATTTTGATGTACTAATGCAAGAGATTATAAAGGAATTGAAGCGAGTTAAAAAATATTGCGGTATTGCTAAGACACAATGGCTCAAACATTTATTGCTTGCATTAGTATATCACAACGAAAATTTTTTGCACATATGACAACAGCGCATTTATTATTCTTCTTCGATTCTTCAGTGTATTTTTGTTACATTAAAGGGTTAACTTATTTTTAGATATAATTTAGCTAGAGTATTTCAGAGGCTAAAAAAAACGAGAACTCCACCAAAACTTTGTCGTTCGATTTGTGAATGGTGCACCATATACGGAGTGTTTTGAAAATATTGTCAGGCACAATGGATGAACGAATAGAAATTGCGCATGGCATTATCGACATCACGTAAGAAAAACACACAAAACTAGAGAAAAAGAAAGCTAAAGAAGAACTTGACAGTAACAATAATAAAAGTATAACTTATATATGTATGTATAATAGGCTCTCTGTAAAGAAACGATATTTCGCAGAGATTTCACAAACGATCCTAATCCCAATGAGATTTCAGAGGAGAAAATACTCTGAAACATACAGTTACCATTTTTCGAAATCTTGAATATGATGACAAAATATGGTGATAAAACAACATATCAATAAATAAATGAGTACATAAACATTTAAAATAAGGATTTATTTGTCACGTATTTTATCGAACAGAAATAGGCATTACTTAATATGTTTGGCTAGCTGATTGTCACAGACGGCCTTTCTGCACTACCTGAAAATGCAAGGATCGTAGATAGCATTGCCGTAGTTAAGAGAGTTTCACATATGGTCTTTTTATAATATCGATGATGAAGCATGGATGGATTCTATCATGATTTATATCGATTGCAAAATGCATTTATTTTAGATCTGAATTTTCTTGTGTACCTAAATAAGCAAAGATTTTTCAATTGTCCAACCTGTAGGGAACGTTTCACTGTGGATAGTATGTATATAAAACATCTGAGCGACGCCAAGGTTTATACCCCGGGCTATTAAGTTTCGAAATTTGACTTTTTGAGTTCTGTTTGATAAGCAATTTATAAAAAAAGACCGCGGACATAAACTGCCGATATAGATAACGGTTTGGTTAGTTAGATTAGAAATGAAGAATAATCTGCAACAAACCAAGGGAGAATCCTAATTGAATTTAATTTACCGAAACGTAGAATCTGGGCACCCCGAGTAAGATACGCCATTACAAACATATAAACTTGGAGAGTAAAGCTCTCGGAAAATAAATTTCTTCTGAACAAGACGAACTCAACCATTGTAATAATTTATTTAGTCTTGCATTTTGCACGAGAGTCTCACCAACTTATGCATTAAATCTCGTAGAGTCCAGGCATTTAGACGGTCGTAAACTGCAATTACCGACTCTTGTCCGTTTGCGGTTGGGTTTGCCGCATTCATATTGCACAAAGCGTATGTCACGGAAATATCTAAATTTTTAACCCTGCTTGGTATCTCTGATAATAAAATGGATTTGATGAGACTATTGCTTTACGTGCAACGTAACTTAAGATAACGGTACATAGTAGTTAACATTGTATACATAGTGACTTGTACGTTATGCGACTTTTCGCGAAAGGCCAGCGATGTTTGTCCACTATACAGGGTTATTCACACAAACCGTTTATTTTACTTCGCATCCGGGAAATTTCAGATACTATTTAAACTTGATTATGCTACTTTTCGCAAATTTAAATTTAGACCCGTTATAGGTTTTATTGAATGCACAGTACGGGTCAGTTAATCAAATTGGAAATAGTATTAGAGTAAGATAATTACTTGAAAACTTTCATTCTGTGCTGTAGCACTGTAGATAGATAGGGGTTAAATTTGTACCATGAATCCTTACTCTAAATGAAACATTGTTAAATAGATAAGGAGACTTTTTCTAAGGATGCTATAATAAAAAGTTGCTATATGTTACTTTATTCCATTATTTGCAAGTAACGGCCTCGTATCCCTTAAATGAACATTTGAGTTATACCTCTCTTATCCACTGAGTCAAGACAGATTCCAAAGACAGCATAGCAATGATTTAACTAATTTAACTATCTTTTATAAAAAATTCTTACACCTTGTCAACTTGAAAGCCGTTTCCAAAAAGCTAAAAGAGGACTTTGGGTTAATCTTAAGTAAATATTCATTAGCACAGTCATATAAATTAGTAATAGTGGCATATAATACATTTATTACGGTGATACTTATGATGTTTAAGTGACAGATGACATTCGCAAATACAAATAGGTCAGCGGTCTCCGAACGCGTTTCATTACTAACAAAGACTTTAGCAGACTCTCTATTAAAGTCTAGTAGCACAAGTCCGTTATCCGTTATATCAACAAGTGCATTCTCACAACTAAATCCAGGCCATAATCCCTCCTGTTTTTCTGCGTTTGCAACATAATGAAGTGAGAGTAATATTAGTTTTATTTATTCCAAAAGTTTCCAGAAGTAGAAATTAAAACGATGTGTAACATTTTCTAAAATATTGATATCACAATATTCAAACAGTATTGCCTTTTTGTTGCTTTTAGTTATATAGATAAAGATCACTCCGTTTTTCTTTTATGCTAGAATTTATTTTTATTAATATTATAAATTGAACTGATTTTAACTATTGCCTTTTTGATGTCTTATTTGTTGAGACAACAGCAGTAATTAACACATCTATTTTAAGTCGCGATAGAATGAATAGCCATAAAATACTTGCAATTAATAAAGAGAAAATAGACCAGCAAATGTTTAAGATATTAAAAATTATATTTTATGTGAAAAGGGCTTGTCGCCTCCTATATTTTATCATTAATATACTTACTTATGTTTCAAAAAACGTATGGCTAAATTACAGTAAGCTCGACATTATCTAAGTAGCAGCATTAAACTTTTTCTATTAGTTAACCAAAACTGACATTTTAAAGAGTAAAAAACATTTAAATATTTTTGAATCGACAACAAAAACATCAAACACATTACAGCAGATTTTCACTAATACAAAAATTCCCACCCTCAACATTTTTTACCAAGAATTTATTTATAATATTTGGCCTGTACCTTGAGAAAAACTCACCCCCACTTGACCCCCACGTATGACTTAACTAGGTACTGTCTAAACCAGTTATAAGTAAGAAATATTACTTTAATCCGCATATATATAAATCATAATTTCCAAATCATTTCCTGTCAGCGATTTTGCCTCAAGCGAAGTTGTTTTGTAACCAACACCACCCACTGTTATTCGACCAGTCGTTCCGAAATTTGTGACTATTTCCATGCAATAGATTGTCTTCGATCCAGACCATGAGTACTAAAAAAAATAGATGCAAAAGAAAGAAGTTTTTGGTCTTACTTAAGTCATGCTTACGTTGCTGGTAACTGAACTACTTGAAGAAACAGGTTGTAGGTGTGCGTGAGTATAGTAAACTAAATCGAGGTTGCGAACATTTATACACTGTCCACTGCTACCCGTCCAGGTGCTGTGCAAAGAGGAATTTTGAAATGCGACCGATTGGACGGTTGAATCGATAATGACAGGTGCCGTTTCGACGAAAACAGCTACGCACAAAATTGTCCATATTTTAATACAATTCATGGTATTTCGTTCTGATTTGATGTGTGAACTGAAATGAAACTATCCTTGTTATTTTATAGTAAGGGCCTTCGGTTGACATTATCTCCGTTATTTGTTTGTTGTTCCGACGGATGAAGTACTTATGATTAAATAAATGAAAATCAACCTTTGCGTAACTTTCGGTGCAATAACCTCGACGCCTTTTTAGTTAAGAAACTATAAAGTTTAGATTTTTTCCTATCGTAAATAACATGTGGATATTGAAGGACTCATAAAAGTTCATATAAATAATGTGCTTAAATGACTTTTACATAGGGATGGATGGATTTTTTGTTAGTAGGTACTAATAACCGCAGTTTATAGTTTAAATCGAGATTAAAAATTAAAAAAAGATATTTTATGAAATTTATAATAAGTAATTTGGTATTCGACACAGGTAATGCTATTGGTGTCACTTCAAATCATACTACTTCCTGTGGCTCCATGTGGATTTTTTATTCATCGGCCGATAACTATAATTTATTAAAATGGCACGGTACTAGATTTTGGGTAAGAAAGTTCATTTGATCTGCTACCGTCCACGATTTTCGCCATAAATCACGTGTGTATGTATATTTTGTTTTATGCTTGTAAATATTTAAATACTTTAAAACAAAACATGTTTTTAATCAAAAAAAGCAGGCTATATCAGTACAATATTATGCAATATATACAACAAATGCAATTTTGTTCAAATTTTTCTATACTTTATTACCGTTTTCAAAACAAAATGATTTAGACAGTTTAGTTAGGAATATAGAATTTTTTTAAAGTAAAGTTTTGTGGAGTAATGCAATTAATTTCTAAGGGCTTAATAAAATCGCATTCCTTAATAGTAATACTTATTTAAAATTAACACGTACTGTCAAATTTCTTTGAGTTGTACACTAGTTCGACGATTCTAATCTAAATGATTGAAAACAGGATTAGACAAGTAACAATACCGTAAGTGTTTATTTTAATAGCTTAGCTTATCATTTCAATTAATCCACAAAACGATACTACCAACTAAATACAGAACAAATTTAAAGCAAATTCTATTTTAGATTTATTGGTATTGTTTGTTGCGAGGATGAATCCTAAAGCTATTGCTTGGGTGCTTGTCAATATGGCAGTGCATTGTGCATTTTCATCAACGTTTGAATCAACTGCGCTAGTACAAACTTTGGATAATTCTAATGAAACAGCAAGAGACGCCTGGTCGGGAAGCGCAGGTACCTGCACAAACGTTCAAAGGCGTGATCTAGTTTATTATAACCACGCTAATCTAATGTTCGTATCTTCGGGTAGCACATTAACAAGCACCGTAAGTATACCTGACCAAATGGGTAATTATGTATTGATTATTTCCTATAGACAAAAAGCAAATCATGCGAACCTATATTAAATTCATTTAAAGAATATAAATTCTTTTTCATTGCTAAATTACTTAACTAAATCTACTCTATGCACTTTCATTCTTAAGAATTGACACAGTGCAGTAAGCTCTGCAGTTGTTCATCTCAGATATTTTAATATTTTTTTTAAACATCATTGCATTTTCTGCGTCAAAGAAATAGACAGATTTACTGTTATCTATATACTTCTGCAACTTGCAATTTAACCAGTTCACCAAAAGAACAGTAACAAAATTTCAGGTATTAAAAGTAAACCAGTTTTTAGAATGTCGTTTTCCTTTTGTCTAAAATTTGACGTTTTCTGGGGAATATTTCACAATTTTAACTTCATTAGAAAGAAGAAGTGCCTTCAATGATTAATGTGGAATACAAATACAAATTTCAAGGTATGGAACGAGTTTTAAAAGGCCTCACTTCACACTGCAGTACGGCAAAGCTTTTTAAGAGACATTAGGAGCTCTTACGGTATTATCAAAACCTCGAAAATGGTACCTAGTGAAAAACTATTTTATTTTAATTTAAAGATATGTAACATTAATGTGATAAAAATAAAAGTTCTTGTATAGATTGTTTATTGTAATGTGTTCCATTTTGTTAACTTAATTAGTCCTTGTTTATTACATATTTTTACTTTCAATTTTTTTAGCCTGTCAAATAAATTTAAAAAAAAATTGTTTATAGTAAGTTGATAGTACATATACAATATATTGTTTCAGTACACATGGAACGGGGCAAAATTCATTTACTGTATCGAGTTAGTTACCAACTACGGTACCAGCGGTCAAGTAACTTCTGGTGGAGTTGGTTACCAATCGGCTGCAGTGGAAGTCCAATCTCGGCCAGGAAAAGATTTGGAAGCAATCATTTTCATTTATGCGGACTAGAAGCTCATATTATACTATTTTCTGAAATTATAACAAATCTTTATTTCGGAAAGAAGTCGTTGCTAATTTGTTAGTTTTGGAATTCGTATATCTGCAGTATTATATCTGTAATAGAAACTTCTTTGTTATTTAAAAAATAGCTAATATTGCCAACAAGTGACCTAATGTGGCCAGCTTTAAATTCAAATAGGTGTTATATTAAACCTCGAATATTTCAAAAAATAAGTAAAATTTAAATATAACAGAAATTACAAACTTACCTTATTTTTTGTCCTAGAATTGATATATGAATAAAAATATAAGGTGTTCCATTTGAAAATCGGCACCACCTATTTGGGATACCCTGTATAAGCTGAGGCACATCTGTCAAACAGATTGAGTAGTGTATCATCTCCTTAGTATGTGTTAAATTTTCGTTGCAATACCTGATTCAGTAGCGTCACAACACAATTTTATATGGGGCAAGCAAAATATAAAAAAAAACAAAACGGAATCGGAAATTCTTAGGAAAGTGAAACTAACCAAGGAGTCAAAAAATGTCGAAATATACAGGGTGTTCCATTTAAAATAACAAACTTCATGTCGGGATGGCCACTTTTGGGACACCGTCTATCAACAAAATTATTATATTTTAAATCCTCACGAAAGTCTAAGAAACTTTTGTACGAAACTTTTTTTCGTATCTCCTATGGATTTCCAGATCTTACAGTGGATCGTTTTATTTGGCACACGGTGTACAAATTAACACGAAATCAAATCTGTAAAGGAATAAAACTATATTTCAAGAAATTAAATATCACTGTATATATAATGATAAAATCCAAATATCTGTATATGTTTCAGTCCATTTTTGTGCATGTTAACATAATTAATAAATGGCTATATTTTAGAATTTTTCTGAATCGCTATTTTACTGGAGCGACTTTGTTTAATTCAATCTGTGATAAATACTCCGCGATGTGTTTGTTATCCATTTTTAATTGGACGATTTATTTTCCTGAAACACTCAAGTTCGGGATTTCTAAAGTTGATTAAATCGTTTCAAAGGTAATATTGATTCATGGGTATTTACCTAATCAAATGTTTTTTGCAAGTAAACAATGTTTTAACATTTTACTTAACGATAAGGTATATCTTTTGTGTAATTTTTAATAGTCTGTCCAGAATTGTGAAATTTATATATATATATATATATATATATATATATATATATATATATATATATATATATATATATATATATATATATATATATATATATATATATATATATATATATATATATATATATATATATATATATATATATATATATATATTCACGGATGGAAAAATGTAATGACACTATATTCCGGGATATCATCCGTTCGCTTGTTGAACTCCGACTGGAATCCTGCAGACGTTTCGCCAAAATCTCACGTGGCATCTTCAATGCTCGCGCTCCGTGTTCGAAGTGTTTTCGGTGTTATCCGTGGAACATAAATTGACATCTAGTTCTGGTTATTTATTTATTTATCAATTTGTGGACGTTTAATTGTATGCATTCTGTCCTGCATCATAGCGAAATAATGTTGAAGATGGTACAAATCATAACATTATCAATTAAAAATGATTTAAGTAATATTACCATGTTTTCTGCATTATCTGCCATCGTCATCATTATTCGTTTCCATTCATTACATAATATTTCCTAATTACCTGTTTTCCTCTTTGTAAATTCATTTCAAATTCATTCGCTTCATTATGCTGTAGCGACTAACCCATGACTATCCATGATGCTATAATATTACTTATAGTATAAATCTTAGTATTGATAATATATTGCAATTTTGCAATTCTGTACAACAATGTAAGCATACCATTTACAAATCTTCTAGAAGTTAACAGTCACTCTCCTTTCGTTTTCGTCGTTTAAATGTTCAATTAGCCTTTATAAAGTAGACTTACAATGGCAAATATTTTTCAAGAACTTTTTTTATTTTTTTCGTCTGAAATTCAATGAAACCATAGCTTACCAGAAACAATTGTCATGTCAAAATATACAATTTCGTGAAAATCTGAACTTTTAGTTCTTATTTATTTTGAATGCTTCTTTATGATTTTCCTTTCTTTTCGTTCTTTATGCATATCGGTTAACTGACTTATGTCGGGCTCTGTATATTTTAATGGTCACTCTAGTTTTAGAAGAACATTTGCATTCGTGAGCATTCGTTACTCTGGGTTTCGAATGGATTATAAAAACATAAACCGGATTTATCCGTGGAACGTAAATTGTCATCTAGTTCTGGTTATTTATCGTTAAAAAGAACTCGCTTTCCAGTATTACTCCAAAATGAAATATTTCGTTTATAACGGTTCTATGCTCTGTCAATATGTAAGTGTGAACAATTTTATCTCCCAATTAAATAAAAAAATCACTTGGTATCTATGCAAAAACTTCGGGACTCCGTATTCGATCGATTTAATCAAATCTCTGGTTATTTTTAAAGCAAAAAAATCCCCCGTGTTTAAAGTACTTCTGAAACGTTTATTATCCGATTATAAACAAAGATTCATAGTTAAATAAATAAGGCGTTCGATGGAAGGGGTAAAAATAATACCTATAAAATAGGAGCACCCTGAACTGAACTATGCAATCCACCAAAATGGTTAAAGTAATGTTTGTAGTTGCTTTGATTGCGATCGCCTTCTGTTCAGCGTCCTCCCTGAACTTGGAATCGGTGGCGACAGTTGACCACAGAAACGCTTCACTTCACGACACTTGGACCGGTGGCTCCGGAGTTTGCACAAATGTAGACAGAAGAGATTTGGTCTACTATAATCACGCCAATCTCCTAGCGATCTCGTTGGGTAGTACGATCACAAGCACGGTGAGAAATTTATTGCTCAAAGCGTTGTTAATTTTATAAAAACAATAATTTTGTTGTCAATTTACCAACAAAACTTCTTACCTTTACATTAACATTTTGTCATAAAATAAAATAAACAATTCCAAGGGAGTTTCACATTAACGTGAGTTCATGTGAAGCTCCCTTAACACTTAATTTAGTGTTTTAGAAAATCTCTTTTATTGGACTGGAATGCTTTCTCAGGCTTCAAATTTTAATTTCTAATCCAAGTTTTTCGAATTGCTAAAAGAACTGCTGAAATATGAGAACAAAGTGCATGAATGACTGAAAATTAATATTTTGATTGTTGCAGTATTCATGGTCCGGATCGAGAACTATTTACTGTATTGAAGTGGTGACCAATTTCGGTACAACTGCTCAAATATCGTCGGGGGGTGTCGGTTTCGACTCGACTTCCCTCAGCATCCAATCAGAAGCTGGAAGAGACCTTGAAGCCATAATTTACATTTATGGCGACTAAATACGAAACCAGTTTTGTACATTTCGTTTGTCATTTGTTTTTTGTTTTACTGAATAAATAAGTAATCTTATGTTTTTTTTTGTAAATCAAATTACACAAAATCCTAATAAACAGGAATCCAACAAGCACTTCGTTATTCAACTCTTGTTAGCGTCGTGTCGTTCTGTACACGTGTTAATAAAAATTGTATATTGTATTTCGTGGAAACAGAAGTGTCTCGTGTAAAAAATAGTGGTCCAAAAGAAATATCAGTAGTTTTTAGAGTAGGACTCTAGGTTAATAGCTGCCTTAAAAACCATTAAATTTTGTTGATACTACTTTAATTCCAAAAAAATTATTTAAAAACAAATTTTATAGCAGCTATGGTTTCATCGAATATCAGACGAAAAAAAAAATTTGAAAAATATTTGCCATCATAAGTCTACTCCCTAAAGGCTAATTAAAAATTTAAACGACGAAAACGAAAGGAGAGTGGCTGTTTGTATACAGGGTATTATCGTGGGCTAAACTCGTGTAACTTCTAGAAGATTTGTAAATGGTATGCTTACATTGTTGTACAGAAATGCAAAATTGCAATATATTATCGATACTAAGATTTATACTATAAGTAATGTTAAATTACTATATAAGTAATATTATACCATCATCGATAGTCATGGGTTAGTGGCTACAGCTTAATGAAGCGAATGAATGAAAATTTACAAAGAGGAAAACAGGTAATTAGGAAATATTATGTGATGAATGCAGACGAATAATGATGACGATGGCAGACAATTCAGAAAACATGATAATATTACTTAAATCATTCTTAATTGATAATTTTATGATTTGTATCATCTTCAACATTATTTCGCTATGATGCAGGACAGATTGCATACAATTAAACGTCAACAAATTGAATCTAAATTAGAGAAATATTCTCTTTTTAATATTGGAAATGTCTTTGTCATAGTATATAGTGCAGAGCATCAAACCACACTTTATCAAACAATGAATTTTCCATTTTTTTTTTACCAAAAGGGATTGACCAAATGTATAGTTTTCTCTTCCTTGATTTTCAGCGTTTATATTATCAAGCACGACATTTTCATAGCTGATGAACAGTAAACTCTATGGTTGGCATTTCCACATCCTTCCGTTATCGAACCTCTGCTGCACTATATTACCAATTGTTTGATAAGCTCAGCTACCTTGATACCGAATAGCGGTGTTGCCGACCTGGAACAAAATTGTTATGTGTTGTCACCGGATTTTGATGATGCTTAATATTATTTCCGGTTACATAAATTAACAAATGCTTTTGTTTACTGACACAGTTAATTAAAGCAATTAAAAAATGAAATTTTGTTCAACAAAATTTTTGTGCCCATAGCTTTTGGATAATATAGTAAATATCGTAAAATTAATGCACCTCAGGCTTCTATGATATTTCCTTATAGTCGAGAATAATCTTCTAAATTTCACACACTAATCTGGTCTTTGCGTATTTGTTGGTTGAAAGCGAGAGATCTGAAATGATTGAGATTGGCTTTTCTTAAGCTTAGGCAAACATTCTCTATGTCTATAGCCCTATAGCACTTACCATATTTTTAGGTTTTGTGTAGACCCCTTGCTTAGCTAATATTGCATTTCCACCAATTCATCAAGTTCAAATGTGTTTACGACTCACTTTTGGCTGCGATGAAGCATACATACATATAAATTTATGTTTTATACATTTATTGATAAAATTTAAATTGCAATACGTAAAAAGCTTTGGAAATAAGTTAACACATGCAAAAGTCATTGCAAGTTCGGCAAGAAAGGATAAGAACTTTCAATGTATATACAAGGTGATCCACAGCTTACATAATTTTTTGGGATATATTAATTCGCTACTGATATATTAAATTTCACAAATGATTGGTGTCTCTCGCCTGCGATTAGTATGAAACCCATGCCAGAAATACTGGGATCGTTAAACACAAAATATCGCATCGAATGGTCCAGATTGGTATTGGTATTGGTATTAAAGAGGGGAGCCCTCGCGGGCGTCCAAGCACTTAGGTCACCAAATGGGCCCATTGTGCCCCCAGACCGCTCTAGAGTGCGTCCAGAATGCCGCCCCTCCTATAAAAGGTCAGCAACTCTTTTAGCCCAATACCGTGCACTGAGTCCGGATCGATCAGGGCCGTTCCGAAGACTCCCAATCTTGCCCATGCAGGTCACTCGGTGAGCAGATGATACCGGGTCTCCTCCCCTTCCATGCACCACCTGCACTCCTGGTCGTCTCCAATGCCTAGCAAGCAATGGTCCAGATAGACAGCTTTCTCAATTACCTTAATTCACTTAATGATTGTATCAAATTTACTATTGAGAAAGAGAGATCTTGTTTGTCTAGATCTCCAAATTTAATTTTTTTTAACATTTAAATCAGCCGTTGAAATTCACCGAATTTGTCGGGAAATAAAATTACGAACAATTACAATTACGTTAAGATTTTCCAAATCTATGCTACCGAAACCGTCGTTGTGATATTTGCGAAGTATGGATGAAAAGTTTTCATTTAGGTATTAGTTTACTGTATCGACTTGATCCGGGTAGCAATAATACGTACTAATCCCATTTAATCATATCCCAATCTTAAGTATGTTCGAAGAACACTTACTAAATTACTCGAAACAAATAGAAAAATAAGGAGAACAATATCTCGCCTCTAGGTGGGGAAAACTCATCTGTATAAAAATACGAGCCACGCTGGGTTTGATTCAGATTGTACAAAATGAATTCCATCAAATCACTTTTTGCGTTGACTCTGATTGCCCTTAGTTTGAGTTCAGCGTTTTCGCTGAATCTCGAGTCTGTGGCAACAGTTGACCACAGAAACGCGTCGCTTCATGACACTTGGGCAGGTAGCGCTGGGGTGTGTACCAGCATTGAAAGACAGGACCTTGTCTACTATAACCACGCTAATCTTCTATCAGTATCGTCTGGCAGCACAATAACAAGCACCGTAAGTAAAATCGATGAACAAAAGAAAACACGATAGTGTCCTATGGAAACATCTCATAATTTGACAATATTAAAAAGCAATCGTGGCCTCATTTTATTTTACTTTTTTGTTTCTATGCAAATGTGTGTTTACCAGAGAATTATTAATAATATACAGGTCGGTTTTTGTTGTGGTTTATAAAAGATACGACATTGCGTTGATACAATAATTATAAAATAGTTTATGGTACAAATGTCTGCATTGTTATAAGTTGAAATTATAAACGTAATAATTTTTCAGTATTCGTGGTCTGGTTCAAGGACTATTTACTGTATTGAAGTCGTCACAAACTTCGGAACAACATCGCAAATATCCGCTGGTGGTGTTGGTTACCAAACTGCTTCGCTCAGCGTACAGTCTGTCGCAGGAAGAGATTTAGAAGCCATTATTTACATCTACGCGGATTAAATTTGTTAAAATTATTTTTATTTTGTCGTGATACTATACTTTTAGTCCTTGAAATTAAAAACTAAAAATCAGAACAGAAGTTTTTCAGTACCCTAAAGCAGATAACCGCAGCAAATTATTGAATGTCATTTTTTGGTTGTAAAACTTTCATCAAATTACGGGCAAGAGTTTTAGTATTAACAGTATATATATTAGGACAAGGTTAAATTTTGAATTGGAAGATCCGTCGTTGTTGATTGATATTGATATAAGCCTTGTCGTGTTTCAATACTTATAGTCTTATCTATAGCCGTTTCCATACGCCACCGGTACTTCATTTATGTTCCGTGCAAGTGAATGGCTGAATAGAATACAATTTTTGCGAATTGACAGTTGACGTTAAGATTTCAAATTGTTTTTCAAATTGTTATTGCCGTTTCATTGCATGCACAAAACATTATGTACCAAAAAAAATTGACAAAAGGGTAGTACACTAGTCTGCCTTGTAAAAGGAGTTTAGGCGAGAAAGCCCCTTTTAACAAATGTCGAATCTTAAGAAATGATCGGGGCAACGACAAGGAACGACGAGAAAGAGAAGAGAAACACACCGTTCTGCGCCTCTTGTATCAACAATGACGAACTGATTCAATACAATTCCTGAAGGAGCTTATAATGGTATATCATGCAACAAGTTTAAAAAACGAGTTTGTTTTGCAATGCCGTCTGCATTTTATTTTCCGAACATTAGTTTTTTGAGTTTCTTACTACAAAACAACTCGCATACATTCACTGAGTCGGCATCAGCATTGACTAACATTTAAAATCTGCCGAAAACGATTGATCGCTCCAAAATCCGTGACTATAATTCCGGAAACCTCCGAAGTGGGTCGCGGCCGTGACGTCTTAAAGTTACACTTTTCGCACGTACGATAAGTGCGTGGAAGTAGAAACGTACTTACATTTTTCAAAGAAACTTCCACAGGCTACTGTAATACTATTTACCCATTTTCTGAACTGAAACTGTTCAGTTAGGCTCTGAAGAAACCAGCAGGATTGGAGAACCATCAGCAGCTTCGATTCGTCAACAACTGACGCAGTAGCAAGTTTCATCTGTCCCATCTACATTGATTAGGCAATAACGAATGTATGAAAAATTTATGCAAAAATATTCCAGAATGTATACATAATATGTTTTTTAGATTTTCCTAGTTTTTGCTTTTTTATTAAAGTACATTAAAGTGCTTCTTCTTGTTTCGATCATTTTTTGTGCACAGCTTGTGTACATTCTTTTACCTTGGGATGGGTTATTAAAATGCCATATATATTTTTTTGCAATTTAAATATTATCCATGATCTGCTATATACAGCAAAATGGTTTTCGTGACATGTGTTTTAAATATAGTTCTTCTATTTATCATCGATCTATTTCTTTCTATACAGAAAAATCCACTTTCTGGAAGAAACATTATAATAGAAATTTGAGAGTTTTTTTAAAATGAATTCAGTGGTAAGTCACTAACTATGAATCAGTCAATGAATTCTAAAAAGAATATTCACATAATTATATTTTTCAAAGAAATTCGCATGGGCTACCATAATACTATTAACACATATGTATGGTCATTTAAAAAAATAATTTTAATACGTATTTTGAATAAAAAATAGATTAGTCGATAAAAAACAAACATTATATCCAGACGCAACCACTTTAATTAATTAATTAAATTTTTCTGGTATAACTTCCACATTGTCCGGTAAATTATGAAATAAACCCGTACGTGAAACATATGCATCGATTGCCGCTATATCATCAAAAGTAAGTTTGGTTATCATATTTTGGTTGGCAACAGACGTATAACTATCTGTTCTACATTAATATAAATTTATAGGCACTTCACAAAGACCCGATATAGATGATAAGATTAAGAATACTAATGAATCTCGAAAATATTTAATGTAAAAATATAAATAAAGAAAACCAAAACTAACAATTGGTAATGAACTGAAAGATGAACTATAGTTTCAGAAGCGTAGAACATCCATTTATTTCAGGCTAGTGTAAAAATAGAAATAACAATTTTTTTAATTGTTACAATTCTTAAAATGATTGAAAATTTCTTTAAATCTTTTTAGGAGTTGTGCCAGGTCACTAAATTAGTCAAAACTCACCCAAAACCAATAAAAAAATTCTCTGAAACTTTCAAATTCCCAATCAATTTTGACGTCGTGTAAAAGAAAACACATTGTATAGTTTTTTATCAATTTTTTCAGCTGTGAGAGATTTAAATAGTAAGGATTTCTGATGTGTTGGGTGACTCTAAATCCAAATTCTAGAAGCAGTTTTTACGAATGAAATGAACATTTTAAAAATTTAATGGTTTATATGTTTCATCACCTCTCTATAATAACGTTAAATAAATAATCAAAAGTTCTAATAACTGAGAACAACGTACCAAACTATTAAATAATATTTTAAATTACCGATTATACCACAAGCTGTACTTTTCATCGCCTCACTTTAAAACATTAATAAAGCTAAGGGCGCCATCTAGTAAGTAAAAGAGAAAGTAGCTTAACATTTTCGAATCCTCATTACAAATACCTTTCCATAAAAAATATTTTAAATATAAGATCTGATTTATACTGCTCCATAAAAGTATTTTGTGGAATATTTTGTATCACTTTTTTATTTTATGTGGGTTAATGTTTTACTTAGCTGTACCTGAGTTTTTTTTTTGCGGCAATACTTTCTTCGGATCGTAGAGAAAAATCGATTTCCGGCATTAAGATCATTTCCCTCAATCTCTAATTTTCTAACAAGTGAAAAAAAAATCGTTTTTCCTGCGCTGATATATACACGACAAACTCTTTGCATTTTCTGAACTTTTTGGCGATAAATGTCTACGAAATATTTCTTACTAGGAAATGGGTAAATATTCAACTTATACTGAATTATATTCTTCATACTATCATTCTATGTGCTTAAAGACCAAAATGAAATTTGGCATTAGTATTTCAAGTTAGTTGGATTTCTCAAAAATGATGGCGATATCTAACTCTTTCTTCAACGATTTTTGGGCTCACAGGGAAAATAAAGCTGAAAAAAAAATATAGTTATGTTCCTCGAAAAGGTAAAGCTCAAAATGTCTAAGTGTGGTGAAAATTTTGGTTAGTTTTGGTTAGTTGTTTTAGATTTTATAAACCAATAAAAACACGGTACGGTAGTATGCAACCAATTATACGCTTGCGTATTGGGATTGGAACTTAATTAATTTTGCTAATAATTGTTTATTTTATTTTCGTCACACTCGAACAAATGCAATTGCTATTTTCTTATAAATTGCACTTCTTGAAGAAACTGACACTTGGAATTATTTTCGAAAGTAAATAAAAAAATGACATTCCAATTACTACTCAATTTTAGAAACCAAACTTAAATAATTATGTGATAATGTGGAAAATTACGATTATAAAAAGTATTTTTTTCGTTCATTTTCATTTCCTTTTACAAACGCGATTTATGTAATGTTCTAAAATATTCCATTATTAGTACGAAAAGGATTTTAAAGTTTGTTATGCCTATTAGCAAGTCTGGAGAATAATTAAAAACAAAACATCAGCAGCGGTATTCTAATTAATCAAGCGTTTCTCGTTTTATTAGCTTATTTTGTTTGCATTTTAATTTTCGGCGCAATTTAAAATCTCGAAACTCGTTTGTTTCAAATTTTAGCGTTCTTATCGCGTTAAACAGGTTCTCCTTTTTCGCGACAAACAGGTAAGAACATTTTTTAAAATAATTATTTTGCGGTTGGAAATATAAATTTAAATGGTCAAAATGTCTTTAACTTTAGATACTATCTGCTGTTATTTTAATTTTTTGTTTTTAATTTAAACTGAATACATAAAAGATATTGGGCTTGCTGTGCCTCAGAATAAAAGTAACAGACGCAAAAATATAAAAACACAATATAAACATGGACCTGCCTATGCCGATAATATAGAAACTTATGAAATAATTATGAAAAAAATGCATAGAACGTCAGTTCACATGGGCATGCGTGAAACTTAACCAATGGCCTTGAGGCGTTCAACAAACCTAACAGCTATATGTTCCAATCAGTAACACGTGGCATTTCAAATCTCGCTTTGAACCAATAATATCTTGAGGTATCCAACAATCACCATTTGGCATTTTTCTTGGTATTCATTAGGTCAAGTACAAGAAACTATCCATGGCAACACTTTTTCCATAAAAAATTATATTTTCAAAATTTGGTATTGGTAACTTTTGGTTAGTTTATCCATGGCGTCATTTTCAATATTTGCAAAATTTGGTATCGGGTTGGAAATTTTAATGTAATTGTATTTTTATGTAGCCGTTTACATTCCTGTCCTGATGGCAACTTCCTTTTTAATTATTTCAGAAACCACTAGGATACGATTTCAAAATAATTTTGATTGAAAAGGTAATATTTTACATTTAAATTACGGTTATTTCCTGTACAAACATCCTAAAGAATTTTAGCCGCAATCTTGCTTCCACCGCTAGTTCATTAGCTTTAGACTAACGAATCGATACACACGAACTGTCAATATTGGAACAAATTTTTGACTTGTTAAATTTTTATAGCAAAAATTATAAAATAAATTGTTAAACTTATCCTCCAAAATAAGGAGGTGTGCTCAATTCAAAATTTATAATAATCTTGCAATTAAAATGTACATAAACTGATTTGTAGTTAGAAAATAAAATTCTTTATATCCTTCCTTACTCTTTCAAAGAAATTATTGGTTGCGTATTAATTCAAAAAACAGTTAAAATATGGACGTATTAAGTAAGATAAGTGAATTGGAAAAATATTTTTTATTAATTGAAAAAGGGAAAAAAATTGAATTTTCTTTTTAAATTTTTGTAAAAACTAGTTTAATAGGTAAAGAACCTAAAAATACTGATATATTGTTTATTTTTAAATAATATCCACAAATATGAATATGAAATATGAAAATCAAATTAACAATTTTCGTTATTCGAGTTATTATTTATTTATAAAACAAAATCAGATCATGTAATATTTTGGTAATATACAATAACGCAAACGCTTTATTTAAAATTTTAAATATTTTAAAAATATACCGCAACTAGTTAGTTCAAAGAAGAATAAATGATGGGAATGATTTCACAAGTTGACAAATTATTTAACCCCAAAAAACAGGTCGAAAAATTATCCTTTATTACGGTTATCTTATTATTAACCTGTATGACAAGTGAAGGAATCCCCATTACTAGTAATAATACTAAACGATAGGGTAATAAATTAAATAAATTTTTGATTAATATTTTAGCCATGTATGATGAAAACGACACTTAACCACAAAATTAAATGTATTTTCGGTTTGACAAGTGGAACTTACTCGGACGACAGTTAACTTGATTTTAATTACAACATGTATTTAAGACATTTTTACACCAAAATGCATGTTCCGAAAAATATTTTGAAAAAGTGTCATAATACTTCTTTTAAAGAAAAGGACCAGAGATAGTTTTGGTTAGTTCAAGGAGACAATTTTAGCAAACCTATAACAATATTGAAATTAAAAGGCAGAAAAAACTTCCACTTAAACGAACTAAACAACCATTTTTTATATTTATTCAAAAACACCGTTCTTTTAAAATTATTTAGCACTTTCTTACGAACGGATGCTGAAACCGCGATTTATAGCAACATTTCATTTTTTCTGCGTTAGCTTTTTTGGTTTCCTTAACATGCATAACAATTTTTATTTGATTTTATATGGTGCTATTAAGCATTTGGCTTGTATAAATCAATAGTTTTGGGAATATTTGTCAGAAAGTCTAGGTCTATGATAAAATATCGGAATGACTAGTAGGACGTCTTTTAGAACAAGTTCCCTTGAGTATTTGTGGACAAATCATTTTTTTAATACTGTACGTAGAATGAAGTTCCGAAAATGTAATTCAATTTGGGATCTTGTGTTATGGAGTGCCATTTCAATTGGGTGTATAATACTTAGGTTCGAGATAGCATATATTACAAGATGCTACAATATTTAAGCAGTTTGCCTTTTTTTTTTTATAAATATTTTTTACCGATCGTTAATCTCCTTAGTCGAAGTTTATTCTCCAAATGTTAATTCATTTTATATTTAAAAAGCATTGTAATTTTTATATCCTATCGTTAATCCATTAAGTACCATCTATTTGTTTTGTTTGTTATTACTCAACAGCAAAAAGTTATTCTAGAATTCTTGACAACAAAAAACCAACGTATACGTGTACAAAATTTAATGAATGCGATAAGGAACATTACCATTAGCATAATGAGAAAATTAACCTTTAATTACAAGTAATATATAAGTGATTGATAGACGACTTATGTCCTACTGTAGGTAGGTACACTGTGTACACTAGGTAAAAAATTTAATGGAAACACTTAAAACTTTTTCGAAGGCGATCTTTGACCCAAATGTTTCGCACGCTTTTACGTTCGAATTTTTATATTTTTTATATTTTACTTAATGACACTAGGGTCGATAGTTATAATTTCGACTGCTGTAATTTACAAACCAAATAGAAGTAACTGCGAAAGCCAAGTTATTTTAAGATTAAACCAATATTAAAACCTTCTATATAGGTAAACCGATCCAAGACTTAACGCACTTCATTCAAGTATTATTGTGGCTGGCGAAAAGATTGTTGTTGATAAACTTTCTACTTTAAGGTTAATGACTCCTTCAGTACTTTGCATTCGTTTTGCAGAAAGCATGCAATAATAAAGCAGGTGTGTTGTCTGTGTGAAAAAATGTTCGTTTTTAAATGTCTTGCTCGGTTAAACTAAGTTAATTGCTAAGGTCAGGAGACGAAAATATGTTTCGCATGCGATGCGTTGATTTGTTGGTATTGTTTCACGCGCTAGTAAGTTATTTTACATTTTATATTTACATTAAAATATAACTTTCAGATCTGGATCCAAATACCAATTAACAGATGTGACAGAAACAAAAACGCGCATGTTAATCTGTTAATCTTTTTTACTTTTACATTTAGATATTACACATTTACAGCGTATTCCAAAAAATAATACGATAGAGTTAAGAAAATGTGTAAAAAACTATTTTGAGAAATACTACGGTTCCTTGAATATGTACATGACCTTAACATCTATGATGTACCACCACTGTGAATTTCCATAACTCCATAAAACCGAGAAATACTTAATTCTCAGATTTAAAAATTTTGGGAAGTTTGATAAACGCTACTTTGGTATTATTGGTATTAAAGGGGGGCGCCCTCGCGGGCGTCCAAGCACTTAGGCCACCAGATGTGCGCTACTTTAGTGGCGAGTTTGATTTGACACGAGCGGGGCGAGTATTTAATAAACGAGGCACGTAGGAAGTTCATCAACGAGTTGCATATTATACTTTTTCTACGACCATCATATTGTTGAAAAACAGTAAATAGATTCACTGAGTGACATGTTCAACAAGTGCAGAACCATCAAAACTGTCAAACGTCAAAATACAAATAATCAAAGACGTACCCAAAAATTATTTTCTTAAAAAAATTATAATATGCAACAAATTCACAGGTACAAAAATGGCGTTTATAAAACTTGTTAGAAAATATACCATTAAAAATTATCTTTGTTAGGTTTACAGATTCCACCCTGATATTAGTAATGAAATCGGAACCCGTGCGTAAAATCATCCGAACGAAAAGTCTACCAATTAAGTCACTGGAATGGGTTGAACTGGTCATAATTAAACACAAAGGAAAGAGGAACTACCAATTAAATTTCAGTTCCTTGACGACCCAGCGTTATAGTGTAGATAATGCACCTTGCTTTATTGATATTCACTTGTCGCGGTACACCGGCTTGCAGCCGGCGATTACCTTTGTACCATTTCCATTCCCAGCGACCATTCCTTCAGAAAATGTATTCAGTCGCTCGAGAGCATTGGGTCGAAACGGTACGCCTGAATTACTGTAGTACCGCCGAGTTCGTTGAGCGCAGTAGGCTGTGAAACGGGTTTGATTTTTTGTGTTTACGTATAGTAACAGGATTTCTAATCATATCTCGTGGATGCTGACATAACTGGTGGTCAAACAACGTCACGTAAGTCTCAAGTCGAAATTCGTAAGGTCTGTTCTAGCCCATTGTCTGTTGACATTTACTTCTCGGCAGGTAAACGATCAGGTTCTACCGCTTTCCTGTCCAAAGAACGCTAAAATTCTCTGGTTTTCAATATTAAACTTACCTGCGCAGCATGCTAACGATTAACAATTTTAACCTGTTTTGTCGATATATAAATGAAATCCCTTTCAGTCCAGGCTTCGTGCGATGTTAGAACATTAGCACTTGCCTAGTTAACAAATCAATGCATATATTATGCTCACACCTAATTAGCAAAATGTTTAACTTATTTTGTTGATAGCGTTAGCAGTTTAGACTAGGAAATAAACTCAGGGCTCATCAGGCGCTTTCTTGCGGCCGATTGGCGTTTATAAATGTTGTCCAATCTTAGCTGCTGTATTAAATTGTTCGTTCGACTAAAAAAGTACTTCTAGATCAACTAAAACCTCTGAATTTCTATTATTAACTAAAACTGAAGATAAGGCAACAAAAACTATTTTTTTCTTAATTTAAGATCCATGGTAATCAGCAATGTTAAATGAATGTGTTCAAGCATGTAGTTGAGAATCAAGAAAAAATGGGAAAATGATTTGACTATTTAGAAAATGCCGTTTTTTTAAATAAATCGCTGAGTAAATTTTAAAATCAAATCATTTTCAAAAACTTTACTCTCAGAAAAGTAGCCAGAATTACAAAGCAAGTCAGCTTTTCTATTATTATTTACTATCTTCTCGCGAGTATTATTCTTGAAATATTATACTGATCATGGACATTTCTTCATAAAACTTTTAGACCAATCTAATGTTTTCTCAAGCCCATTCACGTTTTTGTTAGTTTCGCTAACCAGATGTAATTGAATTGAGACGATTCTATTCCATAAGTTCCAGAGGGAATGCTATAAGTCCTCCTAATCCTTAAAACGCCGTCTTTTTCTTACAACATTCAATTTTTCTTAAATGAAAGTATCCAAAGAGGTTCCGTAGGAACTGTATTTTATCAACATCAAACCCTCTGTATGAAAAAATAATTAGAAACAAAATAAAATTCGTTTTAAAAGAGTTTATGCATATAGTATTAGCCCTGTATAAAACAGTGAAACTAATATTTAACATCCGCAAACGCAATAAAAAAAGCATATCCTGAGGTTCCTTTCTGTTCTACGCGTTCAAATAGATATTTCGGAAATTAAGAAAACCTCGACCTTAACTAACTATATGTATCTATTTTTTTTTAATTTGTTTCCTATGTAAGCATTCAAGCTCAGGGGAGTATTGTGGGTAAAACAATAAAATATCGTAGGACAAATTATTATTTTTATTTTAATTTTTATTTCATGATATTGCCCGCCTCAAGTTTAATTATCGTTTTTTTTTTAATATTTTTAAAGAAGATAGTACCAAAATGAATATCATCTTGGCAAAAAATCACAATTTGGTTGCAGTAAAATAGACCATTAAACGCAATAACAATTTTTTTCGAGACTGATATTCATGTTAAATAAAAAAAAACACACTTTTCCGTATCTCTCCGAGATCTGCAGTAACTTGTTCGAATTAGATCTGATTTTTTTAGGTAATAACACATCAACACATTTTTAATCTTGCCATTTTAATAATCGGGAATTTCAGTAGTTTAGCAAGTTAAGCAACCTAGCAGAGTTATTAGCGCAGATTTAATAAGAGAAACCCGGAATAAGTGTGTCTTAGCAACCAAAGAAAAATTGGTGAACCAAATTTGCGAGTGTTTAATTTTTCCGTATTTTGTCCTCAATTTCACTATATACGCATTGCAAAACATTTTGAATTTGTATCACATGTCGAAATCAATATATGTGCATACATTTTAAGCCAGAAATTTCATAATTTCCAGAGACAAGATTTATGTGTTACTTGTGTATTTTTAATTATTTATATTTTTGTTTATATTTCAATAAAAAACCTGTAACATACTCAACGCGTTAAAGCACTAAAAGCTCGGCACTATGCTTCTAATAGTTACTGCAATTAAGTATATTGCTAGTGTCAGAAGTTTGTAAGTACCGCCGATTTTTTTTTTATAAACAGTTGCAAACTTTTTGCTTGGAAAAGAAGGAGGGAAAGAACACAACCGACTTTTCTGCAGGCTAAATATTTTAAAGCTGAAATAATAAAAATGAGCAACTTTACTTGCAAAATACGGAATGGATTAAGAAATGTAAAAATAAAATTTAATAATAATAATAATACAAAAGATGTTTATTTTTCTCAACTACTCAACGACGAAATATAAATTTACAATTAGTATTAAAAATCTGACATATACTTAAAATTAATACAATTAATAATAAAATTTCATATAGCTGTAAAATAAACATAATAAATATAAAATAGCGACCGCAAGGATGACACAGTTAATACGTCTTAGACAGCAATTATATTTTCGTACATTGGAAAATGTTTTGAAAATGTATAGTATATTATACAACAAGTCTGGTAAACGGCATTTTAGTCAGAGTTTACGTGGCACGGGGGATCCCAGCAGAGCGAGTGTTTAATAATCGAGTGACTTAAAAAGTTTATCAAATGAATATAAATGTTATATATAATAATATGCCTGGATAGTTTTTAAAGCTTAAACTCTCGAGAACCCTTATTTTTAGCATAACATAGCCAAAGACTGTTAGGCGTTATCGCGTAAGAGGGTTAAACCCAGTACTAACACCAGTGGCACATATAGCTACGAACGGATATTTTTTCTGGAACATGTTTCATGGTCTTCGTATGGAAAGTTTAGATAACATGTATTGTTTATTTCAAGTCACCATATTATCACTCCATCTACACAAAAATTGATGCATAGGCATGTCTCTCTCGTGAAATTCTTCGAGCATTTAATTTTTCAGGTTTACAAATCTCGCTCTGTTTTGCTTTAGAATTTCTCTTTGAAGTCATTTTTTCTAGAGAGTTTGTTTACGTTAGGGTCTGTAGTGCAAGTGTCCTTAAGATCCCTTGCGCCCTGCACTGGTTTGTGATTTTTAAATGACCCTCTCATTCGTTATAAAACTTATCTTAGTTAACTCGTTTGTCTCAAATTGAATGAATATTGTTAGTGATTGAAATTTGATATAATAAAAAACTGCAAAATTCTCCAAAACTATAAATGCAATAATATGACTTTCTTTTCATAAAAGTGTAGTGATATGACGCCTAAATATTGTAGTGACAACGCCAGAAAAAAAGAATGATAAAATGTCATGATTTTATAATGTTCTAACTAGGGTTAGGGTTAGGTTGGAGTGGAAAAACCTATATTCATGGGAATACGTTTTAGACTATACTTTCATATTATACTTTTTCTACAACCGTTAGTTTTTGAGTACATTTTTGAAAGCAACACGAATATATTCACCGATCCGAGCGTCAAAATTGACAAAAGTCAAAATTTAAGCCATGCGAAAACATCCGTATAATTTGGTATTTTACAAAAGGGAGCAGAAAATAGTATACTATGAAACAAGTGCAGTAAATGAGCGAAGTGAATGTTTAATAAACTAGTAAATTAAAATGTTTACCGAACGTGTTGCATACTATACTTTTTCTACGGCCGTTAGTTTTTGGGTACATTTTCGCCAAACAACACGAATACATTCACTGACATGACCGTCAGAATTGACAAACGTCAAAATTCAAGGCGTCGGAAATATCTCGAAAACATCCGATTGCTCGCAAACCCGTTCGGTAAAATGCCGGAAATATCCGAAGTGGGAAACGAAACTGACATGGTATACTGTCGCTTCCCGCATGCGAGATTGGTGTGTAATTAGGCATTTTACAGAGAGGAGTAGAAAAACACTTTTTTGACATCATATGCCACAAATAAATCTAATACCAGTATTTCGCATTCTCATTTTTTTATTCACACAATTGCTACATTTAAACTGAAATGACGTAGTAGCTTTCTTGTAGTTTTGTTTGAAGTACAGGCGATTTGGATAAGGTGACTTAAGGAAAGGGTATCTTTTGGCAAATCTTTATGTGACTATCACATTTTAATCTTTTGTCAGTTATTAGTCTATGACGGATAATTCCAGTCACCTGCAGCTTTAAATCGTCAGACAACTCAACTCTAAAGTTTTCGACCCAAAATATTGTGGAAGTATTTGAAAATTTGATAATTTTATTAGTCCTAATGGGCGTTTATTGAGTTCATTTGTTTTAAAAATAAAATTCTTACGCTTGGTGAAATTATATCCGTCATTGTTGTTCTGTGCAATATCACTCATATCGATAAATGCAATATATATAGTCTGCTGACAGGATTGTCTATCACGTGATGATGTGTGGGTGTATCCAAATGTATGCTATATAATTCGTAGGCAGTCATAAGGAATGCACGCTACATATACCAAGACTACGACCAACAACATTCACCAGGGAAGGCAAAGGTCAACATTTTAAATCAAAATTTGAAACCTTGGAACTAAATATTATTTATAATTGTGTTGATTTGAGTGTTGGTTGGCATATTACAATTCTGTAAGTAATAAAATCGAATTAATCCAGGACAGCTGAAAATATCTGAGACGACAGACAGACGACGACTATTTATTTTTCATTTGAGCATAGTATGATTGGATAACTTTTAAAACTCTCGCGAACCCTTATTTTTAGCATAACATAACCAAACACTCTAAGTTATCGCTTCAACGGGTTAAAGCCAGCACTAACACTAGTGGCACATATAGTTACGAACGCATATTTTTTCTGGAACATGTTTAATGGTGTTCATATGGAAAGTTTAGGTAAGGTGTGTTGTTTATCTCGTCCCCATATTATCACTCCATCTACACAAAAACTGATGCCTAGGCATGTCTCTGTCGTCTGTCGTGAAGAAGGTCTACAAATCTCGCTCTGTTTTGCTGTAGAATTTCACTTTGAAGTCATTATTTGTGGACAGTTTGTTTACTTTAGGGTATGTACTGCAAGAATCCTTAAGATCCCCTG